CTCTCTATTTCACTCTCTATTCTTCAATTATAGTGAGGTGAATAGTTTGGAGAACTACTATTCATCTCTCTATTTTAATTTTTGATTATTTTAATATTATTTCTATTATACTACTAGTTAAATCATTTGTTATTATTTTCTAATGCAATATAACATCTAAAAATATATTATTAACAAGTTACTACTCACACCCACATTAATAATTTTTCTATTTTTTTTTAAAAAAAATTGTCACTTTAAATATGTAATTGAAAGTTATTTTAATTTTATTTATATTATATAAAATTATTAATTAAGTCTCTAATATTTGTAATTATTTTCTAAGTAATATAACATCTAAACATATTATTGATAAGTATACTACTTCCATCCCGAATTAACAATTTTTCTAATTTATTTTTTGTCATTTTAAATATGTAATTTAAATTATAATTATTTTTCATTATGAAGTATGCACAAAATTTACATGATAATTCAAACAACCTACTTTTATGTTATAGTGATAAATTATTAAACTACACTTTTTAATGAGCATGAAAATATTTGATGTTATAGTTCAAAATGGAAGAGGGGAAGTAAATTAGTACGGAATAATTGGATATAAGATGAAATTGTTAATTTGATCAATATTTAGCTACACCTAAAAAAATAAGGACAAAAATTGTTCATTTTGAACTCCGTAATACATTAATAGAACATTTATGAAAGTAACATAATAGTCTTGAAAGTTGAGCATTTACGTAAAATTTAAAATAACTTTTACAATGATATAATATTTATGATGTTTTCACTTTTATTTGAATTGTTCGTTAATATGTATTATATATAATATTTATTGCAATTTATGTTATTTAGATTAAAATATAATTTTATATTAAATAAAGAATTTGAAAAAAATAAAATTTTGTATTACATAGAGTGATTATTTACCAAAAGAAGAAGTGATTTATATTATGAAATAAGAAAATAAAAATAAAATAGAAATAATAATATAATATTGAAGAGAGAGAAAAATATTATTTTTTTAGAGAGTAAAATAGAATAGGATTGGAGTAGGTTGTTTAAAAAAATAGAGAACTCTATATTTGGAGAGTAAAATAGAGGATGGGTCGGAGATGCCCTCATTTAAGCTCAAGTCTGTCTCAGAAGTCTTCCTAAAGATGAAAAATGCCCTTCTGCTACATAGTTTACATCTGGTTGTCAACTTTATCACAGTAAACCACAACTGGAATTATGTCGAGCCCTTCCTGAAATCAAGCACCCAATACCATGTAAGAGCAAAAATCTTTTGCTAAATAATGTTGATGGGGGTAAAAGGAGTAATAGGATCAGAAACTAAAAGTTCAGAGCTACAGTTGGAAGAGAAATTAAGTATGCTATATAGATTCAGAAAGTAGTTTCCAGAAAATTCAAGGAATACCTCAAGTAATCACCATCTAGGCTTGCAACAATTACAGTCCCATCAACACCAGCAGCATTGCAACAGAAATCATAAAGGCTCATCAAAGAACTGAGCTTCATCAATGCTAATCACATCCACCTACCATGATATGGAGTTACTAGGCAAGGAGAAAACATTACTGAGCTAATAAAAGTTGCAGAACTCGTTTTGCGACTACTGCTCTGTCAATCTAAAGTAGAAAGTGAGTTGCAGAGCTTAAGTTTGACCCTCACCAAAGTGCCACAACACTCTGACACATATTGCATCACTATATCGGATATGAATATCAATGTAACAATCAACTGCACTTTTCCATCCTTCACAAGGATTAAATAGAAAAGGAAGCATTTAAAAACACAGTTACAATCAGCTGCACTTTTCCATGCTGATTACCAAGTAAAGCTACACAAAACAAGACTCAACTAACCTTATCTGGGAAAAAAGAGTAAACATCCTATACTCCTATTTGTGACCTCATGCACCTCTTAGCTACTCCCTTGGTTTCAATTTGTTCGTCTTGTTTTGACTTGGCTTAGAGTTTAAGAAAGTACATAAAACTTTTGGTGTTCTTAATCTAAAGCTATGTAGAATGTACTAAAATTCCCTTTAATTTTGTGGTCTTAAACATGTCATGTGAAAAGTTAGAATTAAAAAGTTACCAAAAAAAGAAAGAGACATTCTTCTTTAAACAGACTAAAAAGGAAGTTAGACAAGCAAATTGAAATGGATGAAGTATTAAGCTAAGTAAAAATGACAACGTACTCGCAAGATATTTTTTCAGACTCTAATATAGACAGTAGTTTTAAGCTCATGCAGCAAGTTCTCCATTCTGTTGGCTCTTTTCTGGTAGAGTCTAGCATTCCATTGAATCCAAAGATCATAAACAGAATGCAAAGGAAGGCTTTGAATAGGACATTCTGAGGTTTTCTTGCTCCTTGTATTCCTGTGTATCCATTGCCATTCTCCCAGTAATTAAATTTTTAATTCCATTGTAGCCACTGCAAGGCATTTTTCAGGTCGTAGAAAAAACAACAAGCAAAGGACACACATACCATCCACAGGTATACCCCATCTCATCAGCAGGTCCTGAGCTATCAACCTTCCCCATAGTGCTATCCATAGTATAAACACACCCTTAGATTAGCAGCATTGTGACACACTAAACCCCTCCCAGGGACATTGGTGACTTTACCTCTTTTAAAGCCCGGTAGGCGACATTAATATGGTACTTCCCCTGCCTGAAGAGTTGATTACATTTAGCTAGTACCTCCCAATGCTTCCTCATGTACGTCAAATTTAATATACGAATGTTGCAGTAACACGAAATTTTCACAACGTCCGATGAAGCCTATATCCAGTAGTTAACTGAGGAAGGTAAAAGTGAGGAGACACAAGATATCTCTAGTTCATGAAGTTTGTATCCAACTATAATGTTAATATTATACCCAACAAATGTGTGCTGAAGAGTGCTCATTTTAACCAATTAGAGGTGCAACTATTATAAAACTTGTAATATACTGTTAGAATTATCACATGATCCATCATCAATTATCCAAGCTCAACACTTGCTAATTCGAAGCTCTGGTTAATTGAACTGTATTGGAGGTAAAAAGTAAAAACTAGTACAAAGACCGTTGCTTTTAGGAATACAATCTAGAAATTCTCAAGGAGGAGCAGTTGTTTCACATCATTGAAATCTGTTTTCTTGCATTCGTAATCCAGATGCCATAAAATACTATTTCTTATTGGTGATTTCTATTTGTTGAAGCCTCCTTCTGACATTGCTATTTCATTTAGAGATTAGTTTCTACTTCCACCTGTGTATTGTAGAATTCACGTGGACTACACAGTTTCGTTATAGGCATGCTTAAGCCTTAAGCAAGGCTCAAAGTGCAAACACTTTGGCTCGCTTAATGTACGCTTCAGTATCATCAAGGCCTTAAGACAGACTTATACTTGCCAATGAGTCTCTCCTTAAGGGGAGACACTAAACAATTGATAATTCATTTTATCGTAAAAAAATCAGTTTTTTTACATATACTTCTTATTCATCGTTATAATTATTAGCCTTGGACTAATCATATATATTTGCTTTTTTTTTCTCCATTTGTCCTTTTCTCATTAAAATCTACGCCTTATTTGCGCTTAAAGCCCCAACATACCTTAGAGATTTTCTGCGTTTAATAACACTGGGACTACATAATTAGAACATTTTAGATTTTCTAGTCTCATATTTTTTGGAGGCTCACGTGAAATCTCTTAGATCTGAAATTCATCTCTTGCATCTTGTCTCTCTTACAGTATTACATGGTAAAATTGAGAAGAACAACAACAAATCTAGCGTAATCCCACAAGTTGGGTTTGGGGAGGGTAGGAGTGTGTGCAGACGTTACCCAAAGGCAGGGAGGTTGTTCACAAAAGACCCTTAGCTGAACAAACAGTGAAAAAAAAAAGACATGGTAAAATTGATAAAGTATTTTAAAATAGCAACATATCCAAATACAAGGGGAAGAGAAATAACAACAATTAATGGTGAGACCACTCAACTATTTGGAGATTTTAAGTAGAAACTATTAGATTTTAGAATGGGTAAAGGTCCCACATTGGTTAGGGAATGGACTAACGGTCTGCTTATATGGATTTGAGCAATCCTTCCCTCATGAGCTAGCTCTTGAGATTGAGTTAGGCCTACATGTAATATCTTTACATAGTATCAACTCAGGTTCATCCCCATTTGGGTTTCCGAACCATGCTCCAGTTCTGGGCGTGGAGGGAGGTCTCAGAGTGGGTAAAAGTGTGGAGGGAGGTGTCAGAGTGGGTAAAAATCCCACATAGGTTGGGAAATGGACAGACGATCTGCTTATATGGACTTGGGCAATCCTACCCTCATGAGCTAGCTTTTGGAGTTGAGTTAGGTCTAGGTTTCATCTTTACAGAAACAAAAGTAGAGATGGAAAAAAGGAAGAGGAAAGAAGAGACGGCACGAAATGGCTATTGAGAAGAAAGAAGAAAAGAAAAGGAACAGAAGTCTAGGGCTTTTGTTAGTGAGGGTATTGTTGGAATTAGAAAAAGATATATGGGATAATTGTTGATCAAACAAAAACAATTTTTAAGCCAAAAAGCCTAAGTAGGGTTGCCCAACTTGAGGCTTATTTTAGCTTAAAAACCAAATGCTTTAAAGTACTCTTTAGCTTTCCCAAGTACTCAAATAAGCTAAAAAGAGCTTAGAAGCTGGTTAACCCAGATTTTAAACCCATCCAAGCACCCTCTTATCTACACTTGAAACTTCCTTTTTCTCTTAAAAAGTAAGGTTAAACAGAATGGTAGTCTTTTTAGGTTGCAATCGATTATTAGATATTTTTCCCAAAGAGAGCTGCTGAAAAAAATACAAAAACATCAAGAAAATGCCTGGAGCTTCAAGAGAGCATACAAAATCGAGAAGTCATTTCTACAGCCAAATATATCACATACTGAAAGGATAGAGAAATTAATACTTTACACTTTCTTCTATAAAGAGCTGTTAAATTCCGATACACCTTCTCTCTTTACTTTGTAATTGTACGAAGTTTCGAAGGACCTTGTCATCACATATTCACAAACGTCACAGCCACAATAGTGTACAGACCAGAAGCAGGACTCTAGCAAAACCTGGGACAAGTACAGGGATAATTTTGGTGTCAAGTTTTTGAAAACCTCAGAGTATCTGATAGATAATAAGAGCATGGAGAATCAAAGTTACCTATTATTATTTGCTTATTCATCCGCTTAACAGTTTAGAAAAGCAAGCACTATACTGCTATGTAAAAGAAAACTTGCAAGAACACAAAGACTAAGTTGTGCAGACTCTTCACTTTCGATGCTGCTACCATATTACATTCTCCAAAATTAAAATACACTAATTTTGGAGAATCCGACATGCACCCGTTGATTTTTGAAGAGTCCAAGCAACATAGCAAAGACTAAGTTGCGCGGACTCTTCACCTCTGTTGCCACACCCGTGTCAAATTCTCTAAAAATACACAAGTTTTGGAGAATCCGACACGCACTCGTTGATATTTTGAAGAGTCTAAGCAATGTAGCACAAAGAGACGGTATGAATAAGGATTTAAAGTATATATCCTTAACAACAATTAGAGGATAAGCCTGCAGAAGAACTGTTCTGTACCTTTGCTTTCCAGAAGCAAATAATAGTGTGCTCCACAAGGAGCCGAACATAATCTTCAAGATGAACTCCACTTTCTAAGAAGGTGCAACCTCTATTTTTTCAATTAACCATGGCTTCCTGGCCTCCCAGCAACCACAGCTGCAGTATGTAAATATTCCCCCAAGATTTGCTCAATCCAGTAGTGAAAACAAGAGGCATCGTGAAATTGGAACTGATGTAGAAAAAGAAAGTTACATTTGCTTGTAATAATTGAGAAGAACCAAAATCCAAAAGGAAAGCATGCAGGGCAGGTGGCCAAACCAACTGGGCTACACTGACCAATTCTATTTGTTAAAAAAAAGAGTAGAAGATTTGGTCAATGAGACCCCCCCCCCCCCCACACACACACACACACAACTTTTTATATATTATAAACTACACAGTTTAAGAATCAAGGATGCCACAAACAGCGAAGAAAAAAGATAAAAAAGAAGTATTCCACATTGGAAATAATGCAAATGACAAGGCAAATTTAACCATTTCCTTACATCTGAGCATGGACAATCAATCAATCATAATCAGGATACTCCAAAAATATAAATAAAACTGAAAACAAAGGCCACTCAAATCATAATAAGGAAACCATGTCTGCCTGCTCCAGATAAAAAAGGAAAGGAAAAAAGAAAAGAGGCAGAACATAGATAAATTTCACATAAGACAGGGACAAAGAGTTCACCTTTGCAAAAAAACAACCTGACCAGCAGTATTGCTAGACATGTTGCGTTCTTATTTCCTCTGTATCCCTATGTGATTAATTAGGTTTCTTGGCCTTAAATGTATATCAATGCATATATACATTCAACAAATGAGAGGATGGTAAGTGGAAACTACAGAGGCAAGAAGGTGAAGAAAAATACTTAGAGCAACAAAATTGCACAATATAGATACTAAAAACTGACAATTAGCCAAAAATCCATGGAGCTGAAGTTGACAATAAAGAGAAAATCAAAACTTGGGAGATGTAACATAGGTAATGTTGGTGGAGGCTGAGGAGAAGCGAGACAATGTCAACGGCAGAGGCCATGGAGGTTGAAGGTGACACCGTGAAGACAAACAGGAAAGCTGATATAGGATTGAAGTTGAAAACTAAGAGAGGTATTGTAAGTTACCTATTTCAAAAAAAACTAAGAGAGGTATTGTATGCAGAGCAAAGAGTGAAACAGGAACTTACAACTAAAATATTCTTCGGTCACCTTTTCGGTTAAAATCAAATTATGCACACTCCTAATCTTTCTTCCGCAGACGAACCAGCTAGAGAGATGCATTTAACCTCGGCATGGGACAAACGAATTGGATAAAGAATTGTTAGCTTTTGTACTACAATAGAAAACCGAGTATTTCATCCTAAGATCTCGAGCTAAACTTTTCCTTCTAGTCTTCCTTAGCTGCTTTACAATTTTGATGAAAATTCCAAAGTCTGGCTTGAGACCCTTGTCAATCATTTCATTGAGAATGTTTTGAGCAGCCATAATGTCTCCTTTCTTCTGATTAAGCCTCACAAGCAAGCTGTATAGTGTATTTCCACAGTGGTTATACTTGGCACTCATGTCAATCACATACTTATATGCTTTCTCACGCTCTCCTGCTTCAAGCAAAACTTTAAGAAATGCAGCATGAGTAGTAGAACGTGGTTCCACATTCACATTTACCATCAAATTCATAAATTCAGAGGAAAACTCAACCTGACCACGACTAGATGAATGATATACTAAAGTTTCAAAAGTAATTGCATCTGGATTGAGACCCTTATTTCTCATTTCTTCAAGCACAATACGCACATATTCCAGCTTATCATTCTTACACAATGAGCCAAGCAGGTAGTTATATGACTTGGTATTAGGAGAACAACCAAATTCAGACATCTCTTTGATAATTGCTCGTGCTTTTTCAATTTGGCCTGCCTGACACCTTTTACGGATCAAAATATTGTAGAGAGAAGCTGTTCTTTCAGTGATCTCTATTACAAATGTTGCCATTTCAAACAAGTCCAAACAGCAAAACATCTCGATTAATCCGCAAACACCAGAACCACAGCAGGATCCTCCAACCTCATTTAGCATATCAACCACTTTCTTTGTTGAATTCATCAATGAATCCTTACAAGATCCAAATACAGTTAAGAACCCAAAAGCCTTGTCGGTTAAACAAGTTTTTTCAGCCTTAAACTCCTCCAACAAATAGAACATTGTTTTATAGTCATCTAACCATCCACAATTACAAATAATCAGACTATTGACATAAGCACTGCAGTGAAACTCAGGATGTGAGTCCCGAAGCCAATTAAAGAACTTCAATCCAGATATTCTTTGTTCATTCAAAAGGTCAAAAATCTCTACGACGCACTTTAATGATAGTTTTGAAGCCACCAAAATTAACTGTTGCCTCAAATCCTCCCCACCACCCTTGATTATCTCAATTATTTCCAAAACTTCTTCTGAATACACACTTACTGAGGGCTTTGTACTCTTTTTTATTGTCAATTCATCCATACAAGAACCTGCCACATTCTCAAACTTTTCAGTGTCACAAGAAAACATAGTTGGAGGTTGAACACAAACACCTAGAGCAAGGGCTCCACAACGATGGCCCAAACAAAATAAAATATAACAAGAAACTAAGCACCTTGGTCTCCAATACTGCATACATGTATGCACTATGAAAGATTCTTTCCTACAGGCTACAAATTGGGAATCAATCTGTTTGGAAATATCACACTAGACATTATTAAAGGAAGGCTCTTTTGAATAATGGATGAATCAATATTCTATTTTGAACGAGATCCAAAAGGAAAATTGGCCAAAGAAAGACCTTTAGGTGGTTCTGAAACTAACAACATCGTGTACTAAGCTGAATTGGACATGTCTGAAGGAGTAGCGTGAAATGACGTGACTGGAGAATACCAACTTGAACGAGTGAGGTAAAGAAAAGTGTTTACCATTTTAGCTATTGCCTGGCTGATGCAGAAAAGACTGGGAATTGAGTCATGTCAAGCATTGTGAGTTCAACATTGCAACTTTTTACTCAAAAAAAATTTATCTCCTTCACTCTACTGCTGCTAGGAGAAAGCTTAGGTGGCCACAATGGGTGAATTCTCCCTAAACACGGGTGGCTACACAAGAACTGCAGAATGTATTATTTTAACTTAGACCATAAGGTTTGAGCAAATAGCATTTACACTCTCTGGAATCTAATCTCTTTTTAGCTAAACTTTGTCATAATATGTACTGTTTCAAGTATGAACGTCAGAATAATGCAGAATGATATTGAACTTATCTTCACGATTAACCATGTTTATTAATGTCTTTAACTTGGGGAAAGAAATGTTCTTGGTTAAGCTAAACAGGAAACATAAAATAACATGTTTACCTAAGTAGGCTGCTGACCTATCAAGTTTGGAGCATGACAATTTAGGCCAGTCACCACTCACCACTCAACACTCAACGAATAGTGCACCTTTTATGAAACAAATGGGAGTAAACATACAAGACTTTACAACCAAACCATAAAGCACAAATCTTTTACAGTGTTCTAAGATGAAAAATAGGAAGTAAAAAATTGCACCTTTTAGGGTAAAACAATCTGAAATAATCTTTTTAAAAAAAAAACTACCTTTAAGAACCTCATTAAGAGCTTTCTCTTCCAATTGAAGAAACTTTTTCTCAACTTTAAACCCCTTCATTTCAGCTCCTACCCTAACCTCTTCTCCAACATCAAACAGTCGTTCTTCTTCCCCCTCCACATCAAAACTCCAAGGTTTATACCCTAGTTCTTTTGCCCAAGACCCATCATCAAGAACTTGGCTTTCTATTCCCTCATGGTCCGAATCTTTGCCATTGTTGTTACCTGTGGAAAAGAAACAGGAGTTGTTGGGTAAGAAATGTGGAAATGAGGGTTTAGGGGAAATGGGTTTAGGGTTTAAGACATGGGTGTTGGGGGAAAGTAGGGTGAACAGTCGGAGATGTAAGGATTTGGAGATAAAACGAGAGAGCATTGTAGAAACAGAGGAATAGGAAAAGGTGCTGAAAATGCCTAATTTTATGAATCACATAAGATTACTTTACTACCTTTAGCTATACATGGCAGCACTAATAATCCTTAGGGCTCGTTTGGTGTGAGGTATAGTAACAAATAGTCCCGGGATTAAATTATAGTACCGCTTATTTTGTTGTTTGGTTGGCAAGTTCGGGATAACTTATCCCGGGATTAATAATTAGTACCGGGATAAGTTATCCCTCTCCTTGGGTGGTATAGTAATCCCGGGATAACTTATCCCGGGATAAAATAGGTAAATGACAAAAATGTCTCTTTCAACCCTTTTGTTATATCACTTTTTACATTAATGAAGGGCATTTTTGTAAACAAATAAATTGTTCTTAAAATTTATTATTTTGAATACAACAAACCAAACACTCAATAAAAAATAATCCCAACACAACTTATCCCATCATAACTAATCCCAACATAACTTATCCCAACATAACTTATCCCATCATAACTCATTTTCAAACCAAACGACCCCTAAAGTTTCAACCTTTAGCTAAACATGGCAGTACTAATAATCCTTAAAGTTTCAGTGCCAATGCTCTCACTGATTTAGATCCCTTCCGCTATTAGTTTCTTCAGTTTTGTTCAGTACAAGTCACATGATTGATACTTCCACATACTAAAAGCCTTTCCTATCTTATATTAGAGTCTGACTAACAACTTGTTTTAATCCTGATATGAAATTATGATTGAAATTAAAATTTTATTTGGACATGCGATTTAAACTTTTTATATTATATGTTTTTCATAAATATAAAAATTTCATAAGTTATAAAACTATAAAAATTATCTCAATTCTTTATATAATTTTACCAAATAAATACAAGTTTATTAAATTGCATAATACACTATCCAGAAATATTATTAAAAAATACAATATTTATTAATCAAATTTTAATTCAATTAGAAAAAATTAAAGATAAGTTGTATGGTGTACTAATCTTTAATACAATCCTCTCATATAGTACCAACAATCTTCTCACGTTGAACTTGCATTTCTCGTTCATATATGATTGAGAAGACAAACCAACATTGTTACTTTGAGTCATTTGTTGGTCAATTTAACTGGTAAATATATTTGATAAAAAAATAATGAGTTTGTTGGATATAAATGGTAAAGTAGAAATTGATTTGAAGTAATAATAATAAATTCTATATTAGTGAAAATAGTCATTATATGAGATATAAATGATATTAAAAGTAATGATATGAATTATAAATATTATTTATGTATGAAATAAATGGTTAGTAGATATATATATATGTGTGTGTGTGTGTGAGGTTGTTTTTATAAAATAAACTTGCGGGTCAATTTTTAAAGGAAAAACTACATAGCTAGACATACTTCACTACCATATATACTTATTTTACCTCTAGTTTAAAATAAAGGAAAATTGTATAAAATAACAAACTATTAATTAAAAATAAATGTTATAACCACAGTTTTATTTAATTCTAATTTGTAGCAAACATTTTGTCATTCGACTCTCCCCCTTGAATCTCGCTCGCCTCTCTCACTTTATACAAACACAAATGTATAGATTGTGTTGTGTTTGTATAAGGTGGAGAGAACTGTAATACAAGTACAAATACATATATCTTCGTCCTATACACTTATAATTATACAAATATAAATCTTCTTTTGCCTAGTTTTCTTTTGTCTTTCTTCTTTTCTCGCTTTATACAAACACAAATTATACAAAATACAATATATAATTTGTGTTGTATAAAGCGAGAAAGAGATTTTATATACAAATACAATTGTTTTAACTTGATTCAATTGTATACGAATTCAAATTTTATGCAGATATACAAACACAAAGAACATATACATATACAAACGCAATTTTCATAGACTCAGACACCCGATTTATACAAATCACCGCGATTTATACAAATCAGATGTCTACGATTTTATACAATCAGATGATGCCTACGATTTTATACAGATCTGATGCTCTATAGCAAACTATGTTTGCTATGGAGCACAAATAACAAAAATGTAGCTATAGAACGTTAATATGATTTTTATGTTTGCTAAACCAAAAATTTACTCTTAAAATAATTACACATAATACCACTTTTAATATTTATACCATATATTTTAAAAGATTTAATCAGATACACAAATTCTTTAAATATGATATTGAATAATTATCTTAAAATTTAAATATGATATTGAATAATTATCCATTAGCAATTCAAATTACTCTCACATGAATCGCTTCCCTTCCTTAATCTCATTACTCATATGTATCCCCCCACCCCACGTCCTTCACCCACATCCACCATATCTCTCTTCCTTTAATCCTCTCAATACATGTTTGCATTTCCAAATTTTAAAACTAAATCCCTTAAATATGGATTTTGCAGATTTGTTTAAAAGTGATACTATTATCCCGTGCTTAATATTGATGGATGAATTTCTTTTGTTGATATTTTAATTGATATATGACTTCTGGATCACAATTACAATTGCATTAAAGAAATACCACAATGGAAAGGAGAAACAAAATGAAACAAAATGCATATTATGCCCATTCTCTGAGAGTCGTGTGAGAAAAATCGTAACAAACCTCCATGTATTCAAAAAAATCAGTATTTGTTTTATCGATTGGTGGTGGCAAGGGTTACATAAGTTACTTCGAATTTCTTTCCTCTGTTTTATTTCATGTTTCCCCTAATTAAGCTGAGGCGATATGCATATTATTGTGCCCTAGTTTGTTTGTTGCTTTTAAGAATCTTAATATTACTATTGTTGTGAAATTCACTCATATTACATCTGAAACATTTATGAATATGAATAACTAAGTACTTTATTCACTCTCATACAGATACTCTACCGTCGTGATTTTCTCCTAAATACACACGTTTAAGTTATATTTCATATTTAGATACACATAATTAGATGTATATACTTACTATGTATATGAGATACATATTTTTGAATATAACATATGAAATTGATATTTGATACAACAAATTATTCATATAAAAGATACATAAAATAATATGAAAAAATGGTCCAAAACCACTCCAACCTATACCCGAAATCTCAACTACACACTCTAACTTTACGGGTGTCCTATCACCCCCCTTGGACTATTTAAAATGAAATAAATAACTCCTGAAATGCTGAGTTGGCACAGAGAGTGCATTCAAGTGAACTGCCTATTTTTTCTTTTTTATTATCTTTTTGATAGTTTTTTCTCTTTCTTTTTTCATTGTTTTCTTTCTCTTTCTTATTATCTAAACTATTTTCCTGATCTAAATTTTGTCATGGTTGGAGTTCGAAGATTTTCCGGCAACCTTTTGGAAATTCATCTCCTAATTAATTCTTAATCTTTGTAAAGAATTAATTTGTAATCTAACAATCCATCAAACCTTTTCTTCTCTTGATAAGATTTTGTGTCTTTACATAACAATGTTCTTCACTTTTTGAAGAAAAATACTTCTTTTTTACTGTTGAATATAAATTCAACTACTTTATATACTAAAGAGGGTTTAGATTAAATTTATTTGTTATAGAAGACTAAACTTTGTATTCAATTCATTGACAAGACAACAAATATTTTTTGGGTTAAAACTTTGAGCAGGTGAAGAAAGTGAAAGAGTTAATGGTGAAGAGATGGAAGGTGATAAAGCGGAAACCAAGGATCGGATCTCTATTCAAAATCAGCCGCCGCGTTCATCATTTTCTTAAACTCCTCAAAAATCATTTGGCTTCTAGATCTCTATTCAAAATTCCTCATCTGTTTTTGAAAAAAAAAAACTCCTATAACTAAGAGATAATGAGGAAGTTAACCTAAAAGGATTAGATCATAATTTATCCCTAGTAAAACATCTAGGGGTTGTGGAGGTGGAGGGGGAGATGGTGGCGGTGATATCGATTTTTTTAGCGGCGGGGTTGAAGAAAAGGATGGAGGAGGCGGCAAGTCTACATTTCTCTACAACTACACTAGGTAATTAAATCTTCAACAAAAAAAAATAAAATCTCCCAAGTTGGATTCAAATCCCTCAATATTATTTTAAATCGAAACTTTCACAAAAGGAGAAAAAATAATTTAAAAAGATTAATTGGTGAAAAAGGTGTGTCAAGTGCGTGTGTTTCACCACAAGACACATGAGTGGTTATAGTGTTTTAAGGGGTTATTTATTTCATTTTTAAATAGTTCAGGGGGGTGATAGGACACCTGTGAAGTTGGAGTGTGTAGTTGAGATTTCGGGTATAGATTGGGGGATTTTAGACCATTTTCTCAAATAATATTAGATCATATAAATAGATACATGATATTAATATTAAATCATATAAATATTTACATGAAATTAATATCAGATACATATGGCAAATATATGAAATTAATACTAGATACTTCTATGATATATATGAATGTACTTGTATGATACTCATGTATCAATATTTAGTTGTTTGATACATCATATATTGATAATAGATACATCAAATTAGTGAATTTATTATTTTGAAGAGTAATAAAATAAATTAATCAAATTAGATGACCAAGATACACATGCTTTTGGCTTTTATTAATAATATTAATGAATTTATTATTTCAAAGAATGATAAAATGAAATTAATTAAAAATACATACACTCATTGATTTCCGCTTTATATTAAGAGATTCGATTAATTTAAATTTCCAGAATTAATTGTCCATGTATTCTGAAAATCCTTAATTACTCCTTCAATTAAGGAAATTAGTTATAACCAATTAATTTAAATAAATAAAATATGTATCTCAATTTTAAATTTCGACAAATACATGTATCTCGCGGATTCTGACTCATATATCTTAAGAACGAAATATTGTAGAAGAAGTAATATTTGAACTATCGTGAATCTTAGTAATTAGGACCTAAACTTGTGGGATTTATATAGTTTACCCATTTTTATATGTGAAATTCTCAAATCATGATTTTTGGAGAATTTAGAATTTCATCTCATGATATGAAATCCTGAGATGAAATTATAAGTCCAAACGCTAATTTTATCTCATGATTTCATATCGTGATTTCATATTGTATGTCCAAATGCCTACTAAATTTATATTCGCGCCGAAAAGTCTTATATTAAGACTTAAATAGACTTAGATTTATTTAACTTATATTAAATTCACTACCTTGATTTACTACTCCATCACAATCAATGTATAAGAATAATTTACATCTCCACAAAATGTGATGTGAGACTATTTTTCAATGAAAAATAATTTATTAATAAGAGTTGTGATGAAGTGGTAAGCATTTCTTCATCTTTAACCGAGGTCTTACCCAAAAAATCATAGAGGAAAATTACCACATAATAAACAAATAAAATAACAAACTTTTGATAACCCTTGAACCTTAGACCCATTTGGCCCCAATTTGGAAAAAAATGGGAAAAATTTGAGAAATAGTGTTTGGCTATATAATTTGTCAAATATCCCAAGTTCTCAAATACTAGAAAAAACTAGTATTTGGACCAAGTTCTAATATTTGAATTTTTTTAAAAGGAATATTTATTTAAATAATATATTTTATTTGATTAATTATCCCTTTTAATGTTACTTTATATTTATTACCATTTATGACATAACTTTAATTTTAATAGTCATTTGATATTTAATACCACCAGAGTATATACTCTAGTGGTATCAAGGAAGAAAAAGTCACTTTAGTGAAAAAACTACTAAGTTACTCCTTGATACCATTATGTTTTATATATATACTCTGATGGTATCAAAGAGTGATTCAGTGAAAATACTACTCAGTTACTCCTTGATACCATTATGTTTTATATATATACTCTGGTGGTATCAAAAAATAATTCAGTGAAAGCAATACTAATTTACTCCTTGATATCATTAGGATATATATATACTCTAATGGTATCAAGTATTGAATTCAAAATGTATTATAATTGTTGTTTATTTTTCTCTCTTATTAAACGATATTAAAAAGATATTATACCTGAATTTCAAATATTCAAAAGTTATCAATTAGTTTATGTGTTATTATATAAACTATAGTTGTGATACAATTTGAATTCAATATTATACATTGTTATAAATTTGATTGTTGTTATTTCAACAAATATAATACATTTTAACAATGTAAAATTAATTTAAATTGTAGCAAAATATTTGGAATTCATACATAATACTTATAATACATTTGTATTAAAAAATGTTTTAGTTATATATTCAACACGTGCATTGAAACATGTATATAGTATGTATCGTATATTGAATTCAAATGTATTACAGTTGTTATTTTTCTTTCTTATTAACGGTGTTAAAATATATTATTGTATTAAAAATATTTTAGTTATATATTCACAATGTGCATTGAATAATGCATATAATATGTGTAATGCATTGAATTCAAAATGTATTATTTTGAACTAAAAATGTTCTAGTTATATATTCACCATGTGCATTGAAACATGCCTATAATATCTTGTATATAGAAAAATATTGATTACAAAATGTATTACAATTGTTGTATATGTTTTTTTCTCTTATTAGCGATGTTAACAATGTATTATATATAAATTTCAAATGTTATTTTAATATAATTAGAATTATTATTTTAAAGATATGTCAAAAATTTATATTTTAAAAATGAATTGGACATTTATTTTTAAGATATGTTAATATTATTTTTAGTATAAGCACGGCCAGTTATAGTTATGCGGAAGAGGAACTAGCAGTGATAATGGCCCTCAATGGTGGAGCCACCTTATAGTTAAGGGGTTCATTCGAACCTCCTTCGGCGAAAAATTATATTATATATGGTTAAAGTAATTTTTCAGGTATATATAATAGATGTCGAACCTCCTTCAGCTACTTTGTGTGTCAATTTCTTCATATTTTGAACTCTTTATTGAAAATCCTAGCTCTGCTACTGGTGACTCTGTTTGTTGAGGCTATTTGTGGTAAGAAAAGTAAGGCTAATATGTGTATGGTAAAAGATATGTCATAATTCGTAAATAAAGTTATACCATATATTATTTATGTAAATTGACCTATTTAAAAATTAAAAAATTATTCCAAAACTTTTATATTTCATAAAAAGAACTCATCATTTATTAATTCCAACTAATATTTATCTACCAAATTACTCTATTAATAACTATTCATCTTTGTTGTCTATACAAAACATGGCAAAAAAGGAACAATTTATTTTTGTTGTTGATTGTTATCAATTATTTTCAATGAAACATGTTCATATAAAATGACAATACAAACTTAAAAGGTATTTTTAATAATTTTTAGAACTTATGGGTATATATCATATTTTTGAAATAGTCAAACATTTCTCCCAACTGCATAGTGAAACTTCACTCAAAAATGATTTGCCAAAAATATTTGAGAATTTGAGGTCAAACGCTAACTTAGAATATAGGAAATAATAAGAAGTTGTACGACAAAGTGGTCAAACCATTTGAAGGAAGGATTCAGTGCAACACAGATGATGCTAGCAGGGGAAATCCAAGAAGTTCTTATGAACTGAGTCTAAAAAACCACAAAGGGGATCATAAATATACTCACAAATAGAAGAGATACAGAAAATCACCAATAGTAAAGTAAAAGTTATCGTAATCAAAAAAGTTTTGCACATTAGCTATTCAATTGAATAGGTGCAACTAAGAGAGCAGTCTGATACACTAAACAATTACTGTGCCAACTAGAGTAGCACAATACACAAGTTTTTGCAGCACATTAACATCGCACAACTAAAGTTTTTCTTTTTTGTTCTACATATAATATCTGTGAAATTTGTAATTTTTCATTTCTTATTCTAGCTTGCCTATATTTGAGCATTATGTACTCCCTTTAATTTTGTTTATTAATAAAACTGTAGCTAAAATACCACCATTGTTGTCAAATTTGTAAATCCATAAAGCTGAATTTTGGTTATCATAAGAGTTGTGACATTTGACTTTTAACTAATAAGTTACTTAAGAAAGTCAATACGACTTCAATTTCTAAAGAACTTATACCCCACTAGAGATAAGTTGGATTGCTAAAGGACAGATTACGTGTAATTTTTCTGGATATCATAAAGTTATCACCTTGTTTTTTCCTTTGACAAAGTCCTTCAGAGTTTGTTCATTCAAATATCAAGAAGTCAAATTTAAAGGTCTTGCAGAATATATGGTATACAAAGAAACTAGTACACTAGCATTAAGGGCCATATGCAAACACCTAAGGGTCACATAAATCATTTGCTGTTATGTGTAAAGGATATATGTGAAACAATTTAGTTTAGTATATAATAATAATTTAGCTAAGAGAAAAGGAGATTGTCACAACTATATATGGAGATAAAACTTGATCCTTCTCCCATTCTTCACTTCAGGATCTTCTTTCTCCAACAATCATCTAAAACGAATTCTGTATATCAGAGGGAAGTACCACCGTCATTAGACTATCTTCCAAAAGACAAATTCTTCGAGACTGAGGCCTCTTGTACGAGTGTCCTTCAAGTAGCTCTGGGAATCAAGGATCCTTTCAAATATTCCTAAAATGAAAACATATGTAATTAAGTTCATGAATACAAGGGGAGTAACTGTAAGAGAAAAAGAAGTGGGGAAAGGAGGCTTGTTTCATTTGGTTTCCATTGCAGATGTGAATCAATGCTACAAAGAGCTAGCAACATTTTGAAATAGAAAAGCTATCAACTCTCACTAAATTGCCAAGCTCAGGTGATTCCCTTTTATCGTAAAAAGGAAATCTGTTCAACCAACAGTTTGATATATAACCTTAAGTCATTGCTAACACTTCTCTTTTTGCCAAATAGGTGTTCTGTACCAAAATATTGAATCCACTTGTTCAAGAAAACTTGTCTTAGCAGCAAGCTAGAAGTATAGTCTCTGAGTAAATAGACCACTCTCTTTTTCCAGACTTGACAACAACATACCCAATGTAATTCCACAAGTGGGGTCTGGGGAGGGTGGTGCGTATGCAGACCTTACCCCTACCTTGTGAAGGTTGAGAGGTTGCTTCCGACAAACCCTCGGCTAAAGTAAAGCATATCAAAGCAGATTTGAAAAGGAAATGCAGTAGTGAAGAAGCCATGATCAAAATAACAGAGAAGAGAAAAGTAACAACAACAAATAATATGATAACCGTAGCAAAAGAAACAACAATCAAATGACCAATAATAAAATCGAAGAATAAGATAGTCATATTCCAGACTCAAGATTCTCAAATTTACTTTGATCACTGCTGCATATGGGGTTTAGTAGGAAGCAGGTCCCATAGTCTAGAAGGAATGAAGTTCCATTTCCCTCTATTTTGCGGAAACAAACTAACGAGGTTGTTACATGTTAAAACAGTGATCCTTCTTCTCCCGTTTTGTTCCCTACCAAACAACTAACTAGATTTGCTAAGTGTACCCTTAAAAATACATGGCTTTCTTAATCTTCCTCACTTCCTCAATACAAACAAGCACGCACCTACATACCTTGTATCTGTCAGATGCATCAATATTGTTCGAGAGATCTACTTGTAAGGAGCAAATAAGATTGATGAGTTGTGGCCACCAAATCCAAATGAATTTGATAATGCCACCTTAATATCCAGTCGTTCCTTTTTGGGACCAACAAGTATATTTGTATCCTGTTTCATTGATATTACATATCAGATGCGGTGATTACCAGGTCAATAAAGAGTAAAGCTGAAATAGTAAAACAGGGGAGACATGATATATCGAATGCTTTGTATATTCATGTCACAAAAGAATCTGTCTTGGTTGCAATATCAGAGCAAAGCCCTAATAATGCAGAAAATGTGAATCAAACTAATAGACTTGTGATTCATAACTCGTGAGTTTTTCATTTCCATAAAAGGCTCCACTATAAACCAGCTTTTGGCGATATAGTAAAAAATTCAGAGAAGCTGCAAAGTTAAACTTAACTAGCTGGTCAGCCATTAAGTGTAACCAACGACATGCTCTTGATACAGCAAGCTTTCTTAGCAGTTTCATATGATAAAATTCTTTATGTATGATGATAATCCATGCTTAAATGAACAAAAGATAAATCCTTACCACGCCTTCATCTGGGTTTTCAAGATTAATATTTGGATGAACCCAACCAGTTCGTATTGCCTGAGAAGTCCAATTCTAACCGTCAGTCAGCAGTTTCAGCCAGATAATTTTTGCAAGAGACACGTTTAAAAGTATAGTCAAGAAAGATTTACAGGATGAAATCTGTAATCATCAATCACCTTAAGAATAAGTTCTGCAACATCTATGTACTATCAAACTAATTTATCATTATCACAAATAAACTATAACAAAAACATGTTACTGCAACATGCTCAAGTAAATGTCCAAGGACTGTCTATCCTCACCATCCTTTCCACTGTCAAGGCAGGTTACAATGAAATTCAAGAACAGAGATGATACAATTAGAACTTTAATCTAACTTCAATTACACTGTGCAGCACCAACAAACTGCAAGGAACTATGTAGCAGCAGAAAATTGTCTTTGAATTATCTCAAAATAGGTAATCACTTATCCTAAAACAATCGCCATAGCTACTCTCGTAGCCAAAACAAAAAACTATACCCACATGGTAAAAATAATTAGATAAAGTTTGTCTCTTTTGCTTCATCAGTCAACATTTATTTAAATAATTTAAGTTGACAAAGTTACTCTACTCCCAGTTCATTTGGGTTCTTAACTTCAAGCTAGAGTAACTCACAGCAGCAACATTCACTGCAAAAAGCAACAATTTCTAACAAAAAATAAATTACCACTATGGAAAGCTCCTGCTGTGCATTGTTTCAAGGCTCCCACCAATGTTCCTTTGAAAATGTCTTCTACAGGCATGATTTTCTTCTTTCAAAACTCAGATTACATATACTTTTATGAATATGATGCGACTTCCTTGTACAAGTATGCTCTTTTTCTTAACAACAAAAAAAAAGTATGCTTCTTTTTTTCTTTTTAAATTCAAACAAGAAGTTGGTGAAGATATGATTTTATCATTTTAAAAATAATATTACATCCTACAACTTCTATGGATGTCTTCTTTTAAAAGTTGGATTACAACCTTAAACAACTATGAATTTGGTACCACCTAGCTATGAACATCTATACTATTAACTTAGAGAGAGGGCACTAATGTTGTTCAAAGGTGAAAAGTGTGGAAAAATGACAAGATAAGCTGGACTTCTACACCAAAGAAGTAATTGAAGCACGTGCTTTACTTAAGAGAGGAGTTGGTGAAGAATATGTGTTTGTCTTGTGTGTGTGTGTATATGTATGAATATACACATTCTGCAAGAGAAGTATAAAGACAAACCATTATCATGTGAACAAAGGAACTAAAAGAATTAAGTGAAATATATGAAATGAAAACCGTGACAATCAAGTCCAAATCCATACTAAGTTTCTCAGTCAAATGAAAGAATACGGTTGTAGATTTCTTCGTCAGGGATTAGCTTTTATGCTATAATTAGTAATTTTGAATTTCTGATGACTAACATATTTATCCATTGATTAGGAATTAATACAACTTTTCTGTTAACATAAAACTACATCACCTTGCAAGAGATTTATTGGTTAGTGTTCCCTCAAAGTCATGTCTTGAGCAAGCACACACCTTCGCACCTTGATACTTGCATAAAAGCACCGTTATCACGTTATGTGAAACATTGCCATCATTGCACACAGTTTCAGGACTAAAGCATGTACCCAAACTTTTTTTGATAGAACTAAATTGGTCATATACATTTTGTATAGCTCCTATATCATTTACATCCTACCTTATAACCACCTGTCCTGGAATTATTCAAAGATTTACAAGGTCACTCTCATTTCTGTTGGTAACGACAGTTTGAAAGGCCACTGTATTGAATATGAAACTTTTCTTTAACTTGACTCCAACTATCCATATTTTTGTTTTCTCCAGATCTCTTTTCCCAATTATTTGATGATAAAACAGTTAGTTACCTAGAAATTCATAGATTACACCCAAAAATCTAGTGTAGGTTAACCTGTTTACACACACACACAGAGACCTCAGAAGTATCATTACTGTCTAATACTTCCATGACATATTCATGGTTCGAATACGTAGCCAGGAAATATTTACAAAGTATACCTGAATTTCATGTCTTTTTCCGTAGTCTAAACATCAGAGAAGACCTAACCCAGGCCTAATGGAGTAACTTTTCTAGATAAAAAAATTCCCTAGTCCACCTGCACAAGTGCTTGCAAAATACCTGTATCGTGTTATCATTTATAACATCTGTAGACAACATTTCAGATGACAAATAATGTAGCACGGCCTATTTAACCTCGAGGCAAGGAATCATGGGTAACTTAATTTTTACTTTGACACATCGTCTTCTGACGGAGGATAACATCAGAAAGTCTGTCCGACGTGAAGAGTGTCATAAACTACATCAGGGCGCAATACTCTAAGCAACAATATATATATAAAAAGAACTCAATTTTGTATACCCTCACCTTGATTAAGTTGGTCTATATACCACTATTAACATTAAGGGCATCCTACTGTGGCTTTCCAGAGCGTACCCAGATGTCACGGCTAGAAACTGGTTATTTTAGTAGCTTGCATTACCCCATTCCCTGGATGAACTTTGTACAAAGTGGAGATACCCATATCCAAGGGTAGGATTTAATATCAAAGCGGTGTAGCTTTCAATATGATATTGCACATACATTGCCATGCACTTCATTTTTATGTATGCAGGTCCTACGCAAAATCGTTGCTGATACTCTTGCCAGGTTTATGCTCAACAAATCAGATTGGCAGATCAGAAGTAAATCATAACCCTTCTGTAAAGATATTCTTGAACTTGAAAGCAAATAGATTTTAAAGGATTGCATCAACACTTAGGTTTAGTTTTTCCAGATTCCAAGGTAGTTGATGTTTCTATCCCTACGAGTCATTTATGTCTACTTGAGGTTACATTGACCAACAGTTCAACATCATCAAGACCAGGTGGTTAGGCCTTTACTAATTTTCCTCTCTGTAAAAAGTTAGCCAGTCCCTTTGCTTCCCCTTCTTTAGGTCCCACAACGTGCCATCGCTACTAATTGGCATAAATACGCATTTTCACTGGCAGCTGATATTAACAACCATGTATATTTTCGTTTCTTTATTGTCTATTACATCAATAAGTGAACTCAAATTCAAAAGGAAACCAATTCATGTCACGAAATTGTAAAAAATTGAAACTTCCTCAGTAAAACAGCTTCAGTTGTGCTCTCTGTATTAGCAGCCACAAGTTCACTCTCAAGAAAAAAAAAAAAGTTCTAGAGCACACAAACAAATGAGGAACCAAATTAATCTGTTGCTTCTTCACTTCCCCCGAAACGGTTGCTAAAAATAGTATGAGATGCTAATGACGTTATCTAGTTCAATTAGATGCTTACATAAATAACAGAATGATTTGGTCTATTCAACAGGATGACACCAAAATAATATCCAAATCACCCAACAGGGTACACAAGCAGAAATATCAGAATCTGCAGCCAGAAAATCTACTATGCAAGAAAATAGTTGGATGAAATGTTACACAAGAAACTAGAAAGCAACTGAACTGCAGCTGCAGCAAACTTTGAGGAGTTATGAGATAAAAGAACCTGAATAGTTGCCACAGCTTCAACAGCACCAGCAGCTCCAAGCAGGTGACCAATCATAGATTTTGTGGAGTTAACTCGCAACTGAAAACATAGAGCAGTGGCTGATTAAACAGCTGAACCAAAAACCTGAGAGGATTGGCATGGACACAGTAGTTCAATGAGAGAACTTCAATCTAACCTCTGGATTCTGGCCAAAACAATGAACAAGAGCTTGATACTCCTTGAGATCTCCTGCTGGTGTGGATGTTGCATGCGCATTAATGTAGTTTACATCTTCCTTGGCTACCCCTGACTGAGCTAATGCCTTCTCTACACATAGGATGACTCCAGTTCCTGCTAGTTTAGAGAATAGAAGAGTTCAAAGTTTTCCTTTTCTCTATTGTATATCTCAGTAAACATGAGATTGTGCATTCTTATTATGTTAAGCTAAATTCTGTTTTGAGTAAGCTACAAATTGTGCAAGTATATCTGGCTGGTTTGGAAGAATCTTTCAACTACAATTATCAGAAAATACTAGAACTTGAGGAACTAGCCTTGATGGGTACAACTGCATCTCCAACTTAGGCAAAACAGAAAAAAGAAGCTAAGAAATAGTATATCATTTAAGTCACTACAACCAGGAAGAAGCAGTTTATTTCGAGATTTGCAGTTGACATGAGAAAAAGAATAAAGTCAAGCATGGCAAGATAGGTGGGCCACACAGAGGAGTCCATCAGGAGCTTTGTGTGACTCATGCATCCCATAAAAGGTAATTTTTATAAGATGTCAATAAAGGAGTAAATACCTTGTGGAACAAAATCTTGGTGACTAAAGAAAAACATGCAAGTTATAAGTCATTAGGTAAGAGAAGAAACATATTTTTTTTCAAACGAAGCCAACGTATAATCAAAGGATCAAATCCTATATATGGTTAGGGGCAGTACCTTTTATGAGATGGATGGATAGACAGATTCAAGAATATCTGCTGCTCTATTTGTTTGAAAAAGCAAGGCACCAGATATTTAAGGCCATAGAAAGAGAAGATGAAAAGAGAAGAGGTTTGGGAGATGTATTACCCTAACCATTTAGCCACACAACTTTCCCATCAAAATTTAAACCCTTCCAGAGTATAAGATGTATAGAGTGATGGAATCATATTTTGGAGGCCTCTATTTCACAGCTAATAATTGGAGGGGTAAATTAAACATAAAACGCTTCCGTTTCATCATGCAAAAAGTAAATCTTACATTTGATATGCCATCCTTAAGAAAAGCAAGGCAATCCTAGATACAGAGAAGAAAAAAAGGGAAAAGGAGTCGGACAGGTCCATCTAGAAATGAAGAAATTTCAATGTTCAAAAGTTTCTTTGATGTTGCCCGCCAAAACATACTTCTGTGTCGTTCCAATTTTATTGGATATCCCTGAAGGAACTGTCACCCAAAAACACACTTTTTAATTACAAAACATAACCCTATGTAATCCCACAAGTGGGGTATAGAGAGGGGAAGATAGATGCCGACCTTACCCCTACCTTTGTGGATTAAAGAGGTTGTTTCTCATAAACCCTCGCTCAAAAGGAATGTCATCAAAGCAGGATTGCAAGAAAAATGACAACCAAATTCCAAGTTACAAAGTAAATGAAGCAACAAATAGTAATACACATAGAAGAATAAGAAACTACAAAATCACTAAATAATGCTACTAATCATGAGAAGAGGCAAGGAGGAGGCTAGCCCCATATAGTACGAAAAATTCTCACCCCTAATAACCTTGCAGTCTTGCATAAACCTCTATCACACTTCCAAAGGAGCACGTAATCTATCTGAGTCTTAGCCACCGCACTAGCATAGGTCACCAGGTGCTCTTCCCACTATTGGAAGCTCGAGTTAGCTATGACCATCTCGAAAGCTTTCGCGCAATCTAAAAGGGAAACTCCTTCATTTCTATCCCCAAAACTAGTTTAATGGCCATCATCCTATCATTCATCCTCCTAACCTCTACCACTTGCTCCCTAAGTTCCTTGTCTACTAAAATATCTACTCGAGCTTCCTGAGTACCACAACTTCAACCCGTCTACATCCCTAGCCTTGGTTCCTACCCATTTGATTTCTTAGACTCAATCTACATTGATCTTCCTCTTCTTGCGAAATCTTCACTAACTCTATCTAATTAACCAATGAAAAGAACCCCAACAACCGAATAGCTTCACAAGAGAACTATACAATTTTTGGATGAAAATTCCGACATATCTGTTATATAGATTTGTGTACCTGTACGGATACGGTAAGGATGTGCATAACCGTATAACTATCCGGCATGAGTAAATGCAATTTTTGCTAAGTTTTACTGAATTTAAAGGTCCACGAGAAGAATATCGATGTCACACCCATTCAACATGGACACATCTATGCAAATTAAGAATATTTTTTTTTTATGACAAGGGAAACCGACAGCCGCTACCCTTTGGGTGCGCACAGGGTAAAAACCCACTCCGATGCAATAGCTCGCAAACCACACAGGCGAGGTAACCCACACTAGGCAAGCTCGGTGCGACGAGCTCGACCCAGAAGGCAAACCCCTTGCTTTCAGAGACAAGGGGTTTCGAACTTGAGACCTCCAACATGGAAGTCCAAGCTCAAACCACTAGGCCACCCCAAAGGGTAAAATTAAGAATATATATATGAGAGAAATTACCTTTAGGATGAGGCTCTGTCATGTGATAAGCATCACAAGTAAAACTTCCACCTAGAAATTCAGCATAGATTGTTGCACCTCTTTGCTGCTCATGAAATTTAAAAAGAAAACTTAAAACAATTATATGACCCGGGATTGGCTTTTTATCTTTCATATTCTGTTTGAGGATCAACAAGCGGGTGAGCAAGAAAGCATTTATTGATTTTGAAGCATAAATCACCTTGGCATGCTCAAGTTCTTCCAGAAGCAGGACACCAGCTCCTTCACCCATGACAAATCCATCGCGATTCTGTCCAGGATTAAGATAAAAATAAGAAGGAAGCAATTCTTACTAAATATGCTACACACACGCACAACCAGGAAAAGGATGGGGTTGAAATTTTGTAGTGCTATTGCTTCATCTTACAAGTCATTTGAATATAGCAATTAACATAAGCACGTAAGATGTAAGCAAAAAGTTGAGAATCCCGTAAAAGGTCATGATTCTCTGTAAAGTGCATCCTATCGTCCATGGTGATTGGAATATCATATTTGCTCCGAAAGTACACTAAAAATATAAATATTCCACCAATATAAAACAGGTGTTTTTAATTCCTACAAAATATCTTGTATGCCTCTCTTCCACAAAGTTCACATGAGTGCCAATGGAGCTACATGGTCATAAATTCTGAAGAAAATATGCCATACAAGTTCAATCTGATGGAATGGAAACTGCAGTTTGAGATATGCATAACTCACTCAGTAAACAAGAGAAAAATTCAAAGTCGAATATTTCTAATTTCCTATTAGTCCCAAACTCAAGAACTGCAACAGGAATAGCACAAGTACACTAGAATCACCAATCCATTCCACAAATATTTGTGCTAACAACTAGACAGAAAGCAGAGGAACAAGAGCAAAAGATTTACAAGACATTACACTATCCCAAGGCCGAGAAGCTCTTGAAGGGTCGGTATTTCTCTGTGAAAGTGCTCTGCAAGCAACAAATCCTCCCAATCCTGCAAAAGAAATAAAAAAACAAAATAACACAAAATTATATAAAACAACAGTTTTACAACCTCAGCTTGATAGGCTAAACTTCTGGTAAAAGAGAACAGGTACATACCAATTGGTATAATTGCTGCATCTGATCCACCGCACAGCATCAAGTCCTACATTGTCATTGTGTAAAAAGAGAGAACTAAGCTACTAAGAATGTTAATTCTTGGAATCATCTGTCTATGTATAAGGAACTCTATGAACAATGGTAAGACAAAACTGAATCCTCTGCTTCCTACAGCTTTCTATGACTTAAAGGCTTGAAACTTACAGCTTCACCTCTAATGATGTGGTTAGCGGCATTCAATATGCAGAAGTTGCTTGTTGCACATGCTGTTGAAATTGAATAATTTGGACCCATCCATCCCTGCAATTGAATTTTTAAGAAGGCACACAAATCTGGGTGTTACTTAATCATACATCACAGCTAATAACTGAAAACTTAAAACTTTGGCTAACCAGGTCCATGGCAAGCATGGCAGAACCCATGTTTGTAGTTGCAAATGGGACACAAAAAGGATTCATCTTCCTATAGGAAACCCTTAGAGCCTCTATTGCATCATTAAAAACCTGCTCAAGTAAAGCAAATCAGTTAGTGAGTGGTCACTTAGCTTGATTCTAGCAAAGACTACTGGTCTGCATAGGGATTCTCTCTAAGGAGATTTCGATGCATGGGCAATCATGTACAAGCCGTTGCTCAATTATATTTGAGATGTTGGAGACCAAATAGAGCTGATCCCAGAAGCACATAAATAACAAAATAAAATGGAAAAAGAAAGTTGGCATATTTGACCAGCGAAATTTTCATCAGATTTGTGATTAAAGAAAAAGAAAGTGGATCACCTTCATCCCACCCATAGCAGAGCCAATTAAAACTCCACATCTTCTTTTATCCAATTCATTCATCATGTCTTCAGTAATTCCACCATCTGAGAGTGCTTTCTTACCTGCCGTTAGCATGTAAAGCATGAACTTGTCCATTCTTTTAGAAAGTTTGGGTACAATCCAGCCATCAGTTGAGAAAGACTTGATCTCTCCAGCAATTCTCTGCGATATGTACCTCATTATCAACATCTAAATAACTAAAGTTGAAGAAAACAAGCCCAAGAAGAAGACGTACTGTTGGATACTGAGAACAATCAAAAGCTTCTATTTCACTTATGCCACTGACACCTTCAAGCAGGTTTTCATAAAACGTGTGGGGATCATGACCAACTGGTGTGGTCACACCCATCCCTGTCACAACAACTCGCCTTTCCTTGGTTGGAGGTTTCTTCTTTGGTGCAGCCTCCATGGCCGATTGGGAAGCAATTGCCATTACCTCCCCTGGTACAAGGAGCAGCCAAATACATCAAAATCTATGTAAGAAAGTTGATAACTTGAAGGAAAGCGTATTAGAAAATGATGTAGAAATTCACAACTTCGTAGTTCTGTGGCAATACTCCAAAGAAAACCCAATCGTGTAGCTTGATACAAAAGACGGATAATATTTTCCAAAAAAAAGATTCCATGATAAAATCATTTTCTAAAATTTGGTCATCACAAGGTAACCACTTTCTACCAAAAAGAAAGAAAGGGGGACAATGATTTCCTTTACGTCCAGCCTTTAGGTCCAGCCAATAACTACAACTCTTAAACTTGTTCCAACAAGTTGTTTTCAATCTCTAATACTAAAACAAAATATCACACAACATTATGCACATATTTTATCTTCCACCTTGTATGATCATCATAAGCACCTATTTTTTAATACCCAACCAAACTTTTGAAAAGAACCAACAAATGGTTTCAAGTATGAGAAAATACACTAATGGTAGCCCAAAGAAACAACCAAGAAACACAGTTGGAAGTGTTGAGGCATGATCTCGAAATCCAACAAGAAACAAGTTTGCAGACATTAAGCAACAAACAAATTGCATGATCTATCACTCTTTTCACATGACACGCAATGCCAAAATGAACAAGTCTAGAATAATCAATAAACTCAATTCAATTTCACCAACCTGGGTCTGTTTAAAATGTAAAAAAACAAATATAAGAACACACTCACTAACTAGTTATAACAATCAACCATGCAACCTTGAGAATAAACACACTCCAAAATAACAAATGCATCTCCAATTCTAACCAACCTTAATTTTAACGAAACATATAAAAAGGGGCACGAAAAAACCATCAATCAAGCATAAAGGTAGAATTTACCTGTTTGAGCAGAAGAGATACTTTTTGTTGGGGGACGAGTAGCTGCGGATCCGGTAAATAGAAAGCAGGAATTGGAAGAGGAAAATCCAGTAATGGTACGGTTAGGTTGAGATAAGAAGGAAGAAGAGATTGGAAATGTAACAGGATTATTGGATTTGGAGTTTATGAAAACCCCTTTGGTTGTTTTACTTGGAATAGCCCATTTGCATTTAGACTTATAAATCCCAAAAAAACCATGTAATTCATGCTCCTTTTCACCAGGAACTGACATGCATGACCCAATCATCCATGACGATACCGTCGATGACGCCATTTTTCTTAAAATTCCGATCAAACTATACAACCCCTTTATATATATATAAACTTTGAACTCAAAAGATGAAAGAAGACAATAGCAATGGTGAAAAATGCAGAGGGCGGAGAGTTCAGTTCAGAAAAACTTTAGAGCGAAGGAGGGGGGGGGGGGGGGGGTTGGTTAAATCTGAGAGAGATGAAGAAACAAAAATATGTTGTCGTTTTCCTGGATCTCTGCGCACTATAAAAAACCATATCAGAGCCAAGCTTTTATTTTTATATTTTTTATTATTAGACTAATATATTTTTTAATTATAATTCTTTAATAAAATAAACACAATATCTGAGTCCCTGGTATAAACAGCACCAGCCAAGTGTTCTCTCACTCTATAAATTCCAAATCTTTTCTCTTATCTATGTCTCATGTGCCAACCATAATATGCAAACAAATTTAGTACTCCTATACAATAAAATAATCTACTGTCTCTGTTCATATTAAATGAGCATCCTGTTAAAAATTTGTGTCACATGATTATTTATTAAATTATTATGTTTTTTTTATTTTAACCTTTATAATTAATATGACCTTGGAAGTTTAAATAATATTTTGAAGATTTAATTTTTTTTTTAAGAGACTAATTAATATGAACAAAAGGCAAAATAGTAAAGGTGATCAATATATTAGTGATTTTTAATTACACTGTAAAATAGAAATGATACATCTAATATGAAAGGATGGGAGTAAATTTTTAAGTTTCACTTTTTTTTACTTAGAATTCAATAATATTTAGTTTGGTATTTTTTTTAAATGATTTAAAAAATCAATTAAATCAATTAGACAATTACTATCATATATATATATATATATATATATATAGAGAGAGAGAGAGAGAGAGAGAGAGAGTATTTTTTTTTCTTTTAATTCTCTTGGTCTTGTTTTAATAGTATTGTTTTGTTTATTGTTGTTCATAACAAAAAAAATGAGAAAAATCAAATTAAACCAATTAGACAGTTACTATTTTTATTTTATATTATTATTATTATTATTATTATTATTATTATTATTATTATTATTATTATTATTATTATTATATATAAATATCCTTTCTATGGGATGAGTTCAATAGCTATAAAATCAAGTGGTTTAAATTTTCATAAATTACAGGCTATATAGCCGAGTTTACGTACGTAATTTTGAAAAATAAAATCTTAATTTATTGAGTAAAAATTTATATTGAAGATTATGAGAATAGTTTGACTAATTTAATAATTATTTTTTACACGATTAATTTTGTAATATAGAGTTAAATTACTAAGATTAGTTTTTTTATCATATTATTCTTAAAATTAGTGAATAATTTCATTATTAATAATACGGGGACAATTCCCCCACCCACATACATCTAAAGTTCATGACAAATGCTCTTAATCGTAAGAATTTGAGCAAAACGGGAGGTTATGAGATTAGTTTGACTATTTTTAATAATTATTTTTTACACTACGAATTTATAAATAAAGTTAAATTACCAACATTATTGTTTTTAATTATATCATTCTTAGAATTAGTAAATAAATTCATTATATTATTGCTATAGGAAAATAAAATGTTTAAATAGTTATGTAAAACAAGGTATATAATTTCATGTTCCGAAACAATAACTCATTCAGAAGGAGAAAAAAAAAGAATGAAATAATATATATATATACTCATTCAACCCCTCCCCTCCCCCTCCCAAAACATGAAAACAATAAAGATAAAATTGATTTATTTTGAATAGTTAAAGGGTAAAATTAACATTTTTTTCTTAATTTTGAACAATTATTATGAAGAATATTGTTTTTGATTAGTTGAAGAACAGTTTAAAACTAATTGACTAATGACAATGATATTTTTAAGCAAAAAAATATAACAAAATAAATAAACGTATTTGTAATAAGATGCGAACAAAAATTAAAGTCACTAAAAATTCAACGAAAGTTACACACTTGATTATGAAAAAAAGCACATAAAATTTATACTAAAATATTCAGAGATAATTAGACACCTAATTATAAGAACAAAAAAAGAGTCAAGAATGACACTAAATTATGTGAAACTAAATAAAAATATCTTCAATTAATAGTTTAGGTTAAAATATTTTTACCGTTAACAGTATGGTCCAAAATACCCTCATTATTAGTTAATAGATAAAAAAAAGTCCGTAAAAAAAAGCATATGAAGTCATTTTATTTTAACTGATAAAATAATATCAAGAAGAAAAAAAAAGATTATTTGTTACTGTTTATTAGCTAATTTTAATTTTAAAAGAAGAAACAAGAATGATAGAGTGACAATAGAGCAGTGCAAAAGCGGTGTGGGACGAATGCAAAGTAGGACGGTTAATCCGATTAAAATCTTAAGTAGTAATTTTTAATACTATGCGAGTGCATAATTATGTAGATTGAAAAATTGTCTGATAAAAAAGTTAGCTGAAGGTTTTTAATTTTATGTTGTTTGCTCAGCTAAATTTTGTGAAATCAATTAATGCGGCCTTCAAAATCTCTTTTTGATTTCTGACAACATAAAATTAGAAACTTTGAGTTATCTTCACTTGCACAAAAATTTAAAAATAATTTATTATTAAATTGCTAGCTTGCCTAATAAAAGAGATTTATATTAATTAAAAATGTTACTAGCTAATAGCCTAATAAAATAATTTTAAATCAACATTTAAATTATTTTTAATATAATAATGATTATTTATAAAACTTTAAAATATTTGTATATGTAAATAAACATAAACGAGACGAACCAAATTTATATGGTTACAGGATGGAGCGAATTGATAATAGATAAAAATGTTAAGCAGGATTGAGAATTTTGTGGGTTTGACTACCCCTCCCACACCCATTGTCACCCCTAAAGAATGGGTTCTTTAAAAGTAAGGAGTATTTCAAATAAATATATTATTTTTTTCTTTTAAAATATATATATTTTTTAATAATAATTCTTTTTATTAGAAATGTTTATCCTATAAAATTACGGTTGTCTAAACTCAAAAATAGCTAGTTAGACACCTAATTTTGACATGTTAGGATTTGAGTCTTCTACTACCCGATCAATTTAAGGAAAAAAACTGATTTTCACCACGGTCTAGGGGTGCGCAGCAGTTGGGATTTAGTTTGTCAATTTTTTATTTGTGAACACGCTAAATTGATACTCAAATCAATAAAATATTAATAATTGATTGTTGTTTAATCAGTTTTTAGTCCTTAATACGGTTCGATTTTTTATTTAATCAGCAAGAAAATGCTTATATAATCATATACATGATGTTCATAAAATAAAAATAATAGAAAGAATAAAAGTGCACTTTTATTTGCGATAAAAATGTTCTAATTTCTTCTAAAGATTCATGCAATAAATTATAAAAAATAATATTAAAATGTCTTTCTTTATAACAATTGAATCTAAAACCGAGAAGAGAGAATGTGTCGTAATAGAAAGACGGATAATGTAGTTTGAATTGCCTACAAACCGAAAGTTATACTAAAATTTAGGGAATATGGTTGGTAAAATATTAAAGCTCATATAATTAAGAGCAAAATTTAGGATATTAATTTAACTATTAACCAAAATGACAAAACTGAACATCAAATTGATAATCTAACAAAAAAAATATTATAAAATCATTTAAAAAGTATCAACTCAATAACACAATATTAAAAAATTAATAATATTTTTTCAATTTAATTTATTGATTAAACCAATTTATGCACATGCTTTCTTTCTTAGTTATGCAAAAACTATTTTGAACAACTAACTACATAGTATTATTTTTGTGCTATATATAAATTGTACGTAGAATATCCCCAATAGGAAAAAGATTCCAATGTAGTGATGAATGAAATTTTCAGCCTATCCTATATTACAGTTCAAAATAAGTTACGTCACTATCATATTTTTTTAGTAGAGCAACTTTCAGATATAGCAAACACAAAAATTATATTTGTATGTTATAGCTATAATTTGCATAATTGCGCTTCATAGCAAACATAAATATGTATATTCGGCTATACATATACAAAAGAAAGCAGTTGTATAATTTCGCTATACATATACAAAATAAAGTAGTTGTATAATCTGCTTTGGTATACATCTACAAAGATCAATTGTATAATTTGTGTTTGTATAAAGCGAGAAAAAGAGAAAGACAAAAGAAAATTGGGCAGGGGAAGATCGTATTTGTATAATCATAAGTGTATAAGACGAAAATATATGCATTTGTATTTGTATATACAATTTTCTCTCGCTTTATACAAACACAAACACAATGTATACATTTGTGTTTGTATAAAGTGAGAGAGGCGAGTGAGCGAGTGAGATCTGGGAGAGTGAGCGAGTGAGATCTGGGAGAGTGGCGAGCGAGATCTGGGAGAGGGGAGAGAGGGGAACGAAAATATATGTACATATACAATTTTCTCTCGCTTTATATAAACACAAACGCATTTTATACATTTGCGTTTGTATAAAAAGCGAGAGAGGCGAGGGAGAGAATGAGAGTGGCAAACGAGATTCACCAGGAGAGAGGCGAAATAACAACAGTTTGCTATGGGTACAATTAAATCAAACTATATTTATAGCATTTAATTTGAATAATAATTTGTTATTATATACAATTTTCCCTTTTTAGTATTTGTATTTGAATTAAGATACGACACTCTAATATATATTTATATTTTTAAAAAAAAATTATGTTGGAAAATTTTACTTTTGCTACTATATTTAATATTTATTTGTTTATTTTTATTTGTCAGTTTTACTATATCAAGAAAAAGATACTCTATTTATTTATTTTTACTTGTCTACTATATTATTTTGAAATGTCCAACAATACTTGTCCAGTTTATAAAATTAATGAATATTTATCATTATGTGCCTATCTTACCCTTGCTATTAAATACTATTCATTTTTCAAAATTTAAATAACTTATATTTAATAAGAGTGATTTGATAAAATTACTGTATCATATATATTTTATATTTAAGATTAACTACTCACTTTTAGGTCTATTAAAGAAAAATACAACCATCAATATAATAATAAATATATACATTTCATTTATTAGTTTTTAAAGGGGGTACAAAATTCATTCTAGACAAGTTTTTTTTATTAATTAAAAACAATATTCAGTGCTTGATATCATACGAAATCTAAGTCACATACGTCTCTAGAAGAAAGTGTTTTCTATATAAAAAAAAATATAT